GTAGATACGTATCGTATGTACGTGTCGTATGTATGAATCATACCCACGGTCTGATATCCTACGGACAACAACAAGTACATAGTAGTTAATTACAATAGTAACAATATTGTCAAAGTTGCTTGTTGTCCCAGTAGAAAGCCCAAGGGGGATAAGAGGGAGGTTGATGCAGCCTGTGCTATTGGACTGGTCCTCTATTGGTACAGGAGAAGAGGATCTGTTGCAAGGTCAATGACCATGGCCTTTGGGATTGGGTGTTGTCTCCTGCTGGTGGTGGTGAAACATCTCCAGCCTCATCCTTGATGAAACCTTTCTTCGTATCAAAGCCTTCCTCTCCAGTACCAATGTTTGCCTTCTTGGCAATCAAGACATGGGGCTGGCCAGCCTTCTTCATGTACTCTGGCATATGCAGATTTCTTGTTGAGCTCTTAATGTGTTTAACAGCTGCATACTTAGTTTTGATGGAGGTCTTGCTTCTTGAGTAGTAGTAAGGCCAACTTTGTGCATGTTTTGAGACAAGAAGATCCCAGTCATCAGCGTCAATGGGGAGCATATCCAAGATCAAACCCATGATACTGGTGAGCTCATCCTCTGAGTAGTTTGTAATGCCAGCCTTGCGGCCTCAAGTGCCTCCACAACATTTGCCAATTTGATCCATTGTAAGAAAAATAGTGAGAGGGATTGGGCAATGGGCTGCCTCTTTGTTAGACCAGTCATCGGCCTCCTCCTTCTGTGGCTTTTGTTGCTCTCTCCTTTGCTGCAGTTTGCTGTTTGCTCCCCCCCCCCCCAGTTTGGGATTTATGAGTACTGCATACTTATCATACTATAGCTTTTTAACAATGTGCTTACCATACTTAAATGTCCATTGGGGACAAAGTTATAGCTGTACTGTTGATCTAATGATCTTCCATTAAAGAACTAAACCCAACTAAACAACAATCATCTTGACCCACGCAACTATGGCAATTAACACAACACAATCAAAATTGTTGTCAATTGCAATTGATTCAATCAACAATCCAATCAATAATCCAATTGACAATCAAGAACACAATGGGATTCTTGTTCAATCCAAGAACTATAATTCCCCATCATTGGCGTCTGTAGCAGGTGTCCTCCTGTATGAGAAGTATCCTATCTTTCAATTCGCATAGGATTGCCTCATTGCTTGAAAGGATTCAAAGCCACTGGTATCACTCATCATGAAGGTGTTGCTGAGGATCTGATTAATGTCCACCTTGCTACATTGAAAATTATACAAACAAGAACAAGAGGTTCAGAATAATCTTCCTATCCTCTCCTTAATTCTTGGGAATTGCCCCTGGATTATTTTCATACCCCATTCAGACAACTTCCCAACAGCTGTTGCCTGCCTATTGATTGCTACAGCCTGGGTGTTTTAAGGCATAGTATCAAAGGTATCTGGGTAATTTTGATGGCTTCAAATGAGATAATTGGCTCCTTTTATCTAAAATGTGGAATTGACAACAACTGTCCCCCCATTCCTGTTATTTATAGCCTCCATCTTGTTATGTAAACCGCAATCTGGCATGGTGCTGTCATGCCAAGTCCCAGGACAATTATTTGTGGTCATACTTTGTGGTCATACAGATTTTTCCATCCAAAACAAAGACAAGGACACTATTACTAGTAATGTATGTATCACAGACCCAAGAGTTGTAGTACATAGTCTGAATACTTGCCCAGTTGTTTGAGTGCTGAATCTTAACCTTGAGGCCATCAGCTGTGACCCATACTCTTTTCGTTTCAAGTGCAGGATACTTTCTTCCTATAGCTGTCACATATGCCTAGACCTCTTCCTAACGTGGGAGTCTAATAATTCATTGGGATGATTTTGCAATACAAAAAGAAGGATGACCATCTGTAGGGGAAAGCAGATTTGATTTCAAATACCTTAGACAAGGCCCTAGCTGCTGATCTTTGTGTCCTGTACCAAGTCAAGGCAAATGCCATTCCAACAGTGGTAGTTACCTCCCTCTGTTTGCTCTAAGGTTTGCCTTTCGTCTTGGTGAAGAGTCGAGGTCTGATTTGCTCAGTGTATTTGTCCACAGTATATCTATCAAACACTGGCTCAAAGAGAGAAAGGAGGTGCCTGGCTGAAGAGAGGATGGTCTACACCACAGCAATTGAGAAGAGCTTGGTTGTTGCCACTAGCAAACAAATAGATGAATGGTAATTCATTTGCTTTCATGAGTGCTATTCTGGACACCTTCCTTTCCCTGCTATGCTGCCTTTCCTCAAGGGTGAGTCTAGGACTTCTCGCCTCCTCTTGCTGCTGCTCTTTAAAAGCGACTCAGGGGACATGATTGTCAAAACATCATATTATCAGCATGGTGATTTTTTGTGTGAAAGTGGAATCAATAGCAAAATAGTGAGGATAGGGACTGTTTCAGAGGAGGGTTCAGTTTTGTTAGTTTTGGAGGAGGATTTGGTTTCAATAGTTTTGTATGGTTTCGTGAAAATCTGAATCATGCTGGTGCCACTGGACTGGAATCTTGTCAAAAACATGCACAATTATATGGTATTCCAACTTCCCAAAATGGGAGGAAATATGTACTTTCAAACATACTTGGTTACATATATGGATACATATTATCAGGAATGAACCATTGTCAAACAGAATATCAGGGGTGTCTACTGAGTCAAACTGCTCATTGCATTCTTGGATGGGTGGTATGCAGTAAGCTCTCAAACCCACAGTACAAGACTCTTCATGCAATAGTAACAGAGTTATCAATAGGTACAAAAATTCTGGTTACATTTATGGTGCACCACCACCAGTAACATCACCAATGCTGAGAGCTTTAACTCAAGACCAAAGTGAGGTTACTACAAGTACTATCTTCAGCAACACCACCACCAACAACAAGCTTGAGAGCTTGTTGTGGTGGGTGTTGCTGAAGAAAGAAGTACTACTTGTTGTGCTGAAAACAGAGGTCTTCCACAGTTATTTACATATGTGTTGAAGCAGCTCAACATTACCATGTACTCACAATGCTGATACAGAAGACGCTTCTTTATGATGCAAAGAATGCCGCTGATATGCTTGTTGAGGACACTAATACAATACAAGTCCCTACTGATACAGAGCAGGAAGCTGATACAATAGTAGGAGTTGCTGCTGATACAGAGGGCATTTGATGATATGATACAAGTCACAGCTGATATGGAGGACACTGATACAGCAGTTGACACTCTTGCTACATGTCTTACCAAATGGTTCGACACTGGCACCATTTCTCCAGAGAAATATCCTACATCCCTTCATCCCATTATTCATTTTCAGAGTGAGATTGGTTGGCACCACATGTTTGCTGGTCACATTTCGCTCCAGTGGTTTACTGATCTTGATCTTCATTCCGGCTCTTACCCCCCGCTTGGTGTATTAGGGGGTTATCTTGTCAAGTTCTTTCTTACCTCCTATATATCATTATGGGAACAGCAAAATAAGGATCTCCATGGCTATACGCTTTCACAGAAACAAGCAAAGCATCGACGGCCCATGGTGATGAAAGTTTGGAACTTATTTGCATTGAAATCTCAGACCTGTCGGTCCCATGCTCACTTATTTCCAGCAGATATGGAAGCATTCTTATTACAGACTCCAACCTCCATGCTCTCTTATTATCATCGAGCCTACGAGAAAACTATTCTGGCGAGCGTCTCTAAAGCTACAGATTTTTTTTAAGATTTATGTAAAATTGAATTAGACTTCAGTCGTACACACATAGAAGTATGTGTTTTTGACACAAATACATAGATTTTTGGTTCAGGCAGCCAGGCTCACGCTAACCGAAAAGTATGCACACACATACTTTTTTCTTGCTTGAAACCTCGATTCAAAAATTCTTCAAGTCAAGAGCATGGCAAGAATGCAGTTATTTACAGTTAATTTCAAGCAAAATTCCTTCTTATTCCAAATTAAGCACATGTAGCAAGACATATTCTATGACACACAAATCTGTGTCGTCAGATGTTTATTCCCGGTTAGCCATAGACGCAAGTATGTCTGTCGTCATAGATTTTATGTTTACAGGAATCATCCAATATTGAGCTGCTCAACGGTGACGGTAACAGAAGAAACAGAACGTCATCTGAAATACAGCACAGTACGTTACGGTACGTACGATAGAGTATCGCTTTACCTTTTACTTACGTACCGTACGGTATCGCGGCATCTATCTAAAATTTATGACCCCTGCGGTGTCGTACGTACCGGCCATCATCGTACTGTACCTACGTACTACCGCAATTCTCACTACCGGTATGCATAAGGCCTATTCTAACATGTCCGTAGGTGGCACGGCAGAACAGCGTACGTGTATTACTGTATCGAGATCATACCGTACTCGTAACTGCCGGTACGTACCGTACCGTACTCCTAGTTAGTATGGTGTCGTGTGTCGTGTGTCGTGACTGTTTTCTCACACGAAACATTCAATACTTTGTATCTTCACACATTTCCGAAGACGACGATCACATCTGTGAGAAACTAAGTAATAGCGTTGCATCATGAGGAGCTCTCATTTGTGGGTACCAATTATCCTGCTGTCGGCACCACGAGTAGTTACGGGATTGCAAACCAATCCGCACCACCAGGCTTCACGGCGTGAAATCCTTGGAGGATTGGTTTCAGCATGCGGGGCAGGGCTTGTCGTTGGTGGAGCGCCACAGCCGGCGCGGTCCGCCGCTGCCGTCCAAGACTCACTGGATGTCGACGCATTCTTGAGAAAAGGGGTGGATACTGGAGGAACCATGGGTGTGTCGAGCCAAGCTGGAAAGAGCCGGCCGGAAACGGGGGTTTTCCTGAGGGACGGAAGCGACGTTTCGAGAGACAAGAAAACCGGTGATGTTAGTGCAGAAATAGTTGTCAACGGAAGCAACGGCGAGAAAATGGCCGTTTTTGTCAGCTATAGCTCTCCATGGCCACTTGGTAAGAACGAACGCGAATGCGCTGCTTGGTCATGTAAATAAAACGATAATATCTGTTATGCACCGCTTCCTCTATATGATCCCGAGCGTGCCTTTATCGAGAATCCAAGGAGGTATCTCAATTCTCTCCGTCCTCGACCTGCTTCTCAACGCATCCAGCCGAGGGCCCCTTCTACGATATAGAGTGCCGGAATCAAAAAACCAGCGACGGCGCATTTGTGCAAGTGACAACGGATGTTGGAGGGAAAACAGTAGCAAATATTGACAACGCCTTCATCCTGGAAAATCTTTTAGCCCCAAGTGGTCGGTTCTCCTTCTATGGTCAACCCACAGATGTTAAAATCAAAAAGAGTACCACCGTCGGTGACTACAGGATCATTGATCTCAGTTTTGCTACTTTGTCGCAAGCAACACAGACAGAGATTCCTCGCAAAGCCCAACTTGTTGCAACTATTCCAAAAGGTTCATCGCAAGCTATTGTCTTGGTTGGAAGTGCACCTGCCGCCAGATGGAACAAAGGATCGGACCAGCAGGTTTTCTCTACCATCGAGTCCTTCCGGGCCATTGCAGCTCCCAAAAGTTCTCTCAAACTTCGACGAAAGGAACGCAACACATTTTCAATAGATGAGAATGGTGAATAAACTTAGAACATGTAGATGTGAATCGAGTGGTGTGAAAGCTTTTTCACTCTTTATGTGCTGGCACTACGGTAGTGTGTACTTCAGAGATTACGACGTGTCTGCGCCTGCTTCTTTATCTCTAGTTACTACAAGATACTACTTTTGTAGTTCACTTTGCGGCCCGTACTGTATGGCCCATTAATCTTGCAACTTAGATCGGTGGATCAGATATCATTCATCACACAAATAAATACTATTAACATCTTTAATTGAGACGAAAAGTTTTTTCAGAATTTCTCACCTGAAATACAGTAGTATGTACAGTAGTTATTTACAAGAAAATATTTACAGTATTTGCAAAAAGAAATATCAAACGCTGGTGAATGCGCATCAGACAAAATACACAAAACATAAAAACATAGTATCATTTGCAGAAATAAGGCTGAATAACGTGTAAAGTACTAGGACTAGTACAGTAATATGTTAGTATTGAGAGTATTGCAAGTATTGATAATTGCAGTGGCCCACAAGGGAGAAATTCATCAGTCCAAAAATGCTAACTGTACTAATTCCCTCATTGTTTGTCACAAAAATACTATCACTACTACAGAATGGTGACTGCGTTAGTAAATCTCTCTCTCTCTCTCTCTCTCTCTCTCATTGAAATAGTCTTCTGAAAGATACCTGCCTACCAAAAATTTGATTGCTTAACAAGTGTATTACTAGTACTACCTCAATCAGCAGATGTGTTGAACAGTTTGAACTGCAATCCTACCAAGCTACTGCCTATCAGTGGACTTACTTGTGCAAACCAAACACTTTTCAGAATACTCAGAGTTTGGCTATCACCCCTGTTTTCTTGGGCTTGTCATACTTTCAGTCAAAGAGTGTAAATGAGGGTTGTGGTTTGTTATCGTGTCCACATTCAGATTTTAGACAACATCACTTGTTGAAAAGATCTCTTGCAAACCCTCATTTAATGAGCTTGGTACTATATCCTCAAAGACCACTAGATTATTCCTGAAGTTGTCAACATCTTGGCCCTGCACGAGATTACGTGTACTCTTGGTAGTAGGTGTTAAGTGTGTATGAAAATTGAATTATAAGATTAAGATAAGATTAAGATTCTCGCGCTCCGACGTGAGCTTTCAGTAGACCTGATTAGATCCTGTGTAGCTCTCGGTACTAAATCTACACAGGGTT